TGATAATGATGTTCAAAGAAGGATGAAAAATGGAATATTAATACAAGTTTGATAGATTACAGAAATTGGTATAGTGAATAATGTCGAGTGCAAACAAATATAAAACAAGAGAGAATATTCTAAAAATATTTGTATAGTAATAAATGTATAAAAAAGTGTCCTAAATTTGATTTATAAAAAAAAACTAAACTTAATTGTACATTGTGGTTCTGATAGTGTACACATATATTATAAACATACAGTTTAGAACTCACAAACTAACATGTACAATTATTAAAATATAGTATAAGTTTTAGTTCGGCTATCTTTGATTATCATCGGAAGTTCTTAAAATTAACGATTAAAAAATAAATGTATTTTATCACTCTCGATTACATTCAATGTTAATGAAGCGAATAAACTTTACTATCATTGTTATATAAACAGGAGAGTTCGAACAATTTTATTTTCTCTAAAACTCAAACAGAAAAATTAACTCATTTACATATAATATACAAATAGTATACACTTTAATAATTATATTTAATGCATTATATTTAATAATAAAATGTATGAGAGATGAATGGATAAGGGTGCAAAAATGTCGCGAACTAAATTATAGCGATATAGTTTTTGAGTTTAAGTTAGTGATTTGGATGTTCTGGTATGATGTTATGTTTAGAGAAAAAGTTGTAAACTACAGGTAGGTACTTCATAAGATCATGTATGCAAGGGAATGTAAGAATGTAAGAAGAGATATCGTGTAGAATAATATGTAGATGGATGATGTGGGAATGAACAACATAGTAATAATCATGGTATAAATTATGGTGATAACAACAAAGATGTTGCGTATGTGTCAAAGTAAGTACAGTTTACATGACGAGATGGCATTGTAAAATAAAATGATACTAGTAATTATGTATGAAAGTTAGCGTTAGTCACTAAATAAGTATTGGAATGTTTGGATCATATCTTAATATTTTTAGATGCTAGTACGATAAAGTATTATCATGAGATCAGAGCAAGTTAGTTGGTTGTAACAATAACAAGAAAAATAAAGAGAAGAGAACAGATTGTGATGGTTTAAAGTCACTATGAACTATTTAGGTTAATGCCGTTACGGTACTGGTTGTATAATATGAGAGATCCTTTTATATAAATAGTGTAAATAATATAGGAATCTTCATTTGGTACAATTTAAGGTATAAAGAGGTACCCTTTTTATGTATTTTGTGTTTCTAAGTAAAAATTTGATTTTTATCATTTAGACGCGATGGCAGTTCGAACAGATGGAAAACCTGATCTTAGCCAATCTATGACTTAGCGAAGCCGCCGCAAATAATTGCTGTATATTCTATTATAATTATTCTAATAAAAACTATTCTTGTATTATGCTTATAAATTATTATAACCATAACTATTGTAATTTAATCTGAAAAAAACTGTCTGGATATAACCTAGATGAGAATAAGAAAACATTGTCTATTGAAAATGAAATGACAACAATGTTAAATTAGAGAGAGAGAACAACATTTATTAAAATATAAAGCAGACTGCCTGTCCACCAGGTTGCCTATAGTGACACAGTATACCATATCAGACATTCATATTACGAGTATAAATTAAAAACATATAAAATTACATTATAGTTATAGTGTAAAACATATAAAAATAGTTTGATTGAAATACATCCGACCATACACCTACTAATTTTTTCCATCACATCAAAACTATTATCAATACTGTTGTGGTCTTCGAACAGCCACATTGCCGCAGTAGAATTTCTAATATTACACTACAATCAGTCGTAGTATTTAACAATTTTTTTTTCTTAAAGCTATTTCTTAGGTTTTGAGCCAGCCACAAAGCTGTATTAAAAATTCGTAACTCTGTCGTGACTTTTAAATAGTCACATAGCCGCAGAAATTAACCCATAATTTTTCAAAAATTAAGTAAATATCAAACTGCTATTATCGTCGCTTGCCGGGATTATTTGTCAAATAAGTACCCAAAGCTATCATAGTCGGCTTATTGTTGAAAAACCTTAAATTATATAGCCAGTATTTACAATTTATGACAAACAAAAACCCTTTTTTCACACAAATAAAAATAACTTTTTGATAAATATTAAAACTTATAAAAAGAAATATAAACTTAATATTTTTGTCCTCGAAAATGTTCTTAAGAAACATAAAAACGTAAAAATCTTAAACAACTGTTTGGCTATTTCCAATTAAATTCTATGTCTAAACTTATATCTAAACATCTTTTGTCAAAGGTAAAATATTTTTCTGGATTTTTTTTGTAAAAGACTTCAACAGTGGTCAAATAACACATTTTTGTAATAGCTGATTTCGGGTTTAATATACATTTTTAATTTTACTTTGCCATAAGAAACTTGAAAAAAAAAAAAAAAAAGTAATTAAAACCGAAAACTGGTACTACACGTTCTTAAATGGAGCAGAAAGCCCTATTTATTAAGGTCGTTAAGCTTACTGTACATGCGATGATGACTTAAGTAATATAATTACATTGTTTTTTTAGATTTTAAAAGTATTCAATTTAAGTGTTATATATACCGTCATACAATGAAGTTCAATGGCTTGCGTCTTTTATCTGTGTTGCTAGTTAGTTCTTTGAGTGTCGTTTCGGGTCATAAATGTCTTGATTTAGAACCTGTGCCTGATTTTGATATGGAAAAAGTAAGTTCAAGTAACGTATTTGTTACTTTACAGATGATATTATAAACAAATAAATCAATTGAATACCATATTTGGATATTCCTTAACATATATGATAGTTATTGGTTAAGCTTATACTAGGACACTAATGTCAGTCATTATTTATAATTTTCTCATGTCACTTCCTGCCCGCCACCGCCCTTAGAGATGGCATCAGTAATGGCATCAGGGAAAACTAAATAAATGTAGACCGGCATAGTTCACATAATGTGTCTTTCGTTCTGGAACCCCCTCCCCCACACACACAAGTATATCTTGTGTGTGTGGGGGAGGGGGTGTTAAATTATTCTTAGCAACTTTTCGGAGCCATGGTGGAAAAGGGTAGACATACAAAAAAATGATCGAAAACTAAATTGTCTTATTTATGAAGACATCTAGCTGACATTTGCTAAAAACAACAGCGACAGAATAACCGTCTTAAAAATATAGTTTTTAATAATTCCTGTGTACTCGTACTAACTAATCCGTCGCTTTTCCCATAGTTTTCAGGACAATGGTACGTCATTACACAGAAACTCGAAAGTGTTCAAGATTATACAGGGAAATCCAAATACATATGTATAATTATTGGAGAATTGGAAGCCAATCCAAGATTACCGTCACAAATGACTTATACACTGATCTTAATATTGATTATTGAAGTACTCGAAATATTTATTACCAATATGCTTTTACCATCCGTGAGAATAAATCACGCAATTAATTACGTTTGTTTTAAAAGTATAAACCGGGTGTTCGTCATAATTTAACAGATTTCCATAAATATTTTTGCGAATTCGTTCATCGTGACACACCCGATAAACCAGGAATTCTTATTGTTATTTAAAAACAACGATTTATGTGTTTAATTAAATTTACTTGCCCACAGTAAACCACTGCACATTATATAGATACCTAGTTGGTAATTTATACCATCCATTTTGTCTAGATCAGAGGACTTGGACAAAGAAGACCTAGACGGTGTAAATACAAAATAACAATTGCTTCGTATTATTGATATTTATTGTTTTGGAATAAAAGGAAAATTATGTAATTAAATTCGATTTTTTGCAGTTAATAAAATGCGTTGTTTTTATTTTTTTTTCTTGATTTACAGTTGATGGGATGTATAGATACGGGTCATGGTACACCAACTGAGCTGATATCGAAAACCGTCGACCATAATGACTGTGTCTATGAGAATATCGATGTGAATAGTAATGAACAGAATGTCATTAGCGACGCCGGGAAAGCGTACGTTACTATCAAATTCCTGGTTAATTGATTAAATGCGAATTAGTTCAAAAGTTATATGAAATGACAACGTACAACTAACCCATTACAATTATAATGTATAGTGTAATCGATTAAAAATGTTATCATAAAATCCTTTTGCATTGTTTATAAATACTGTTTGATTCAAAATTAGCGATAATACCTTGTATACAAAAATGTAAACGGTAATGGCGAATAAGTTAAAAACATTTTCAACCAATAAAAAAAAAATTGTAGGGTACGATTAAGGGTTAATTTATCAATGTTTAATTTCTAACGCTTAAATTAGTTCAAGAATAGCCTCGACTACAAAATGCCATTACACGGAAATGGAGGGTTACAAGTTAGATTCCGGGTATAAAATTAAAAGGGCGTTTTATAGAATAAAAAAGGTTAATACGAGGTTTTTAATGCTATATTATTTACTGCTTCCAAAAGGTCACTGATGAGTGATGGCTGATAAAGTAAATAATGTTTTTTAGCAACAATATTTTAAATACAAACCAAACAGGAACTCAAGAAAAGTGTATAGATTTAGATATCCTGGCTGGCAAACCATGTTGCCATCGGATTGGCTTAAAAACAATTTATATAAGATCAATTCGGGTACAAAAACTAAACCTACGTATTTTAAATTGAAAGCCATGTTGTTTTCAAATAATTTTTCAACACATTATTGTGCGCTGAATTTAAAATTTGTAAAATTGTTGTTGTGGTTGTGTATTGATTTAGAGAAGTGTATTGTGTGGGCTGTTACTCATAGATATGTTATTCACATCGTCCCAAAACTAAAAAAATAAGACAGTATGAAAAATATTTGTGTTGTTTTATTATTTAAATTACATATTGCTACCACGAAGAAAAATGGTAAACACCTATCAAGTATGAATATACTAATATAAATAATTATATTAGTATACTTATATTAATATTTTTTTTAACGATAAATTGTCATACTCAAACAGCTATGTAAATTCACATAAGCTAACCTGCCAAAGTTTTCTGCATTATACGACATGACAATCGTTGTGTAAAACCAAAAACTAAAAAGCACATAAGTTTTTAAACTCCGTGTTAAAATTCAGTACATCGTTAAGTAAGCCGCACTATCAAATTTCGAAAGTTGTGAGTATGCTTTTCTCTATCCGAAATGGTAAAATGTTAAAATACTTTAATTAAAAATGTTCAAAATACCGAAAAATGTAGCAAAATATGTACCTAAAAAACTAGGAAAATAATAATTTTTAAAATATTCATATTTTCATAGAAAATTAGTGTCTTGCGTTAGTTGGATCATCCTGTTTTTTTTTTATGAAAAAAGAACACGCGTTTCATTAGTTATAGTGATTTAGTAATATAATTGCAACTTTTTTTTTAGAATAATTGAAATTATTCAGTTTACGTGATTATACACACCGTCATACAATGAATTTCAATGGATTGCGTCTTTTATCTATGTTGCTAGTCAGTTCTTTGAGTGTCGTTTCGGGACACGAATGTCTTAATTTAGAACCTATGAAAAATTTCCAAATGGAAAAGGTGAGTTCAAGTTATGCATTTGATACTTGACAGGATACATTATAACAAAACAAAACAATTATGTACCACATATATTTATAAGCCGTAATTATCATTGGTTTATCTTCCAATAGCTTAAATGTATGCGTAATTACAGCTACTTTATTTAAACTTAAGCTTATAATTGTTTTATAAAAATATATAGAAAACTAATGTCGGTCATTTGTTTATATTTTTTTATTTCACTTACTACCCACTCCCACCGTTAGTAGTTTCTATGTAATCGGGACTATTTACCAACCAACTTAGTTACTCCAAAACTATAAATAAAATGTAAAAAGTGTATGTCAATAGGCTGGTTCCACCAGATCATTGAAACGCCAGACACAATTTTGAACTAAACTTGGTACACATATGAATCGCGTTTTAGAAAATATAATTGGTAGAGGTGGGAGGTAGGAGGGGATGGTAAATAACTCTTACCAACTTTTTGTAGTCAGGGCGGAAAAGATTAGACATACAAAATGATTGAAAACCAAATCATTCTTACTTATTTATAACACACTGACATAATAATAAGCTGACATTTCATAAAAAAAAAAAACAACAGAATAAAAATATCGTTTTAATTAATTCCTGTGTACTAAACCGTCGCTTTTTCTATAGTTTTTAGGACAATGGTACGTCATTAAAACGACGATGCCAAATACTCGATGTTTAGTGTATGATCTTCACACGCAGAAAATCGAAAATTTGACAGATTATGTAGCTAAGTACAGTTCCAGTTGCTTTATATTTGGAGTATTGGATACCCATACAACGTTACCATCGCAAATGACTTATTTTAATCTTTTTTTAGATTATTCAAGTACGTGATGATTTGACAGATTGTTTATGAATAGTTTTGTTAATTCGTTCATCGTGTTACACTAGATATACCAACCGTTCCTTGTTATTATTAAAAAATTAATAATTTAAGTGTTTAGATAATTTCGCTCACCAATAGTCAACCAATTTACATTACGCGGATACCTAATTGGTCATTTTTATTATTATATACTTAGCTAATCCTGAAGAGAAAACGTCTTTTGTTGTGTTCGACACGAACTATGAATCCTATGCGGGTGTATACGTATGCTCAAAAACGCCCACTGGCTTCACACATTATATAGCCATTGTGTCCAGATCATCAGTGGACTTTGACAAAGAAAACATAAATAAAGTAAATACAAAATATCTATTGCTTCGATTTATTGATACTTATTGTTTTGTAATAAAAAGAAAAATTAATTAATTCAATCTGATTTTTTGCAATTAAAAAAATGCATTGTTTTGATCTTTAATTTACAGTTGCTCGTACGTTTACATGATGGTCATATTTCACCAGCTGATTTCAGACTCAATCACGTTGACCACAGGGACTGTAACTATGACAATGTTAATGAGAACAGTAATGATGAAAATGTCATTAACAAAGATGGGAAAGTTTACGTTACTATCAAATGGATACATCACGCAATCCCTTTACCGAATCCTTAAGCATGCGTTAAAATCGATTAAATACTAATAAATTCTAAAGTTGTATAGCATGACAACGTACAGCTAACCCATTACAATTATAATGTCCAATGTTATCTATTTAATTTCTTATCAAAAAACCCTTTAACATTGTTTAGAAATACTATTAAATTCAGAATTAGTGATAGTAACTTATCTACAAAAATGTTTAATTGGAGATCTTTAGCTTAATATAAATATATTTTGGTTATGCGTTGTAAAAAAAAATTAAACTGTACCAGATTATATTAAAAAGTAAAAAAAATTATAAATAATTGTAAATTTCTGAGAAGTTTTTGTTATTAATTTAATTAAATACTTAAAAATAGATAATATTGTCCTATGCTCCGTCACCAATTACTACTGTAATCCGACCCATTTGGGCTGGTTTTTGTTTTATAACTATGGTACACTCAAGTATTCATAAAACTATATAATACCGATAGTTTTAGTACAATGAACACATTTTTCTTTGGGATTTCATCAATATTATTTTTATTTAGGTTACATTACATAAAAGTACATTATGGTTACTAATAGTGGAATCAAACGACTAGGTGCGACATGCGATTTGAAATTTACACTTCATTAGTGTATTTATTTATTTATTGAAATGTACATTGTGTAGACATCAAATATAATATAATTTAACAAAATAATTAATTAATACAAACCATAATTAAAGGCGTTAAAATGAATACAGAAAAAAAAGATATGGAGATATAAGGTTATTAGAATGCATTGAAAAAACTTATGAAATTTAGTCTAAACAAAATTAATAAATAATAGAAACTTTCACCTGGATTAATATATTTAGTAATTAGTGAATAGGTAGTGATTGCGATGAGTAAAACGGATAAAAGTTGGAATGAAATACACTAAGGAGTGTTAACATTTGAGAATACTTGTCAAAGTTATGTAAACTAGAACATTTTAATATATAATTTGATCGCCTAAAAATTAGTGTCTTTAGGTCGACGTAATCGTCATTCCAGCTTATTTTAGTCACTTCGACGATTGCTGGCTGACCTCGCTGTACATAGTATACCTACGATAATTGTAAAATCGGTTACTAATTATTCTAGTTTATTCTAATTTCTAAATCTTATTAATTGTCTCTGTATTATTTATTTTACCTCATGTCTTTGTAAAATTATGCATCGATCGCCGTATATTATTATTTATTGTATACCTTATTGAGTTTATACCCTTTAAATAAAAATAAATAAATTTCTACTTATTCTAAGAGTTATAACAAAAAATGGTTATAATATTTCACAATAAAATATGTATACATGATTCTGTGGAAGTCAGGAATAATAAATTAACTTATATATTTAACAGTCTTGGTCTAATATCCCCGTTCTTTTTTTAAAAGAAAAGAATATTATTTTTTTATTTTTTATTTCAAAAATGATCTAACTTTTAGTGCGAAATCAATGAAAAGTGATTTTATGAAACGATTGTCAATTTTTTGTTGTGATTAATATAAAATTATTAGCATTGTTTTAAAAATGAAAAAGATGTCCTCTCTTAACGTTAAATAAATAATACTAATTTGTATTTATTTTCAAAATTTTTAATATTTGTCCATGTTACTTTTTTTTTCGTTTGTATATTCTAGGTGTGAATTATGAAAACACATTTTGTTTTTTTCATGTTAGATTACGCTTAGTTTTGAGGGTACAAGTTTTAAAGTAAGATATTCTTCTTCTTGGCTTTATGACTCTCCAAGAGTCTTCGCCGCCACCGTCAAAGCGTTCCATCTTTCCCTATCCTGGATTATATCCTTCCAATCTTCTACTTCCAGTGTTCTTAAATCCTGACTTACCCCGTCGAACCATCGCTTCCTTGGTCTACCCCTCGGTCTTTTCCCACTTGGTTGGTACTCTATGGCTGCCCTCACAGCCTTTAATTCATCCCTTCGCATAGCGTGTCCGAACCATTGCAAAGTAAGCTATCTACTCTTTAAATATTAATAAATTACATTAGTTTCCAAAGATATATTTTTATACAACAATTATAGGCTCAAGTTGAAAAAGGTAGCTATATTTGCAAATACAATAAAACTTTTTGCGGCTTAAACGACGATAAAATAAGGTTTACGAATAAATAAAAATTAAAAGTAAAGACCGAAATTAGTGTCCTAACATAAGCTTAACCAATAACTATCATATAAATACTATCATAATTGTTTAAGAATATCCAAATATGCTACTCAATTGTTTTATTTTGTTATAATATATCCTATCAAGTGTCCAATGCATTACTTGAACTTACATATTCCATTTTGAAACCAGACATAGGATCTAAATTAAGACATTCATGTCCCGAAACGTGTTTCAAAGAACTAAATAGTAAAACGGATAAAAGTCGCAAGCCATTGAACTTCATTGTATTACAGTGTATTCTTCTTCTTCGTAGTTGACGGCCTTTAAGACCAAACTAACAAACATATGCCATGTCATCTCTCTCTATCCTCCGCTAGGACTCGCCAATCAGCATCCGGTTCAACTCGCTCCACATCTTTTGACACCTGGTCTTCCCACCTCAACCTTGGTCTACCAAGTGGTCTTACGCCTTCTGGAGAGCCACATAGAACCTTGTGTATAAGGACTTTTCTTTTCGCCATGCGTGGCCAGCCCAAATGAGCCGCCTCTTTCTTATATCGTCGACTATGTTTGGTTTCTGATATAGCTCCCTGATCTCCACATTATGTCTGATTCTCCACTCTCCTGTATTCCTATCTATGCAAGGGTCAAAAATCGACCTCATCACTTTTCGTTCAAATACTAAGAAGTTATTCTGTTGTATCTTATGATGGTGATTCTAAGGTCTCTTTCCGTGGCAAGAGCTACTAGTCTACATCCATTGTCATTCGATACTTCGTGTAAGCTATGAATACCTATTATAGGTCTAAAGTAATTTTCTTTCCCAATTTTCGCGTTGAAATCTCCTAGAGTAATTTGTATGCAATTTGCCGGTATGTCATTCAAGACATTATTAAGTAATGAGTAAAATTCATCTTTCTCTACTTCCTCCGTTGGAGCATGTACATTTACAAATGCTATCGTATATGCTATGTGCTGCTATCGTCAGCACAGTGATTCTAGGACTTATTACTTTAAAATCTTTAACCGAGTTGAGGTATGCTTTGTTTACAGCGAAACCGCTCCCTCCAAGTCTTCTATTATCACATGCTCCATAAAAGAGTGTAGTATTTTTTAATTGCATTAACCCAGTGTCACTCCATCTTAATTCTTGTAGTGCAACAATCCCAAGTCTATACTTCTCCACCTTATCTCCAATGTTCTAAATGCGCCAGGTTTAAATAAAGTCTGTATATTCCAAGTACCAAAACGTAGAGCCGATTTCCAATTTTCCATTCTAGAGTCCTGTAATCCACTAATCCGAGGCATTGTGTTTGTGCCCTGAACAAAGTTGTGTTTTACTGTGACGGGTTGTTAGCCCGTCGCCAAACGCCCAACCCGGAGGACCAGACTGAGCCAATCAGTTAAGGCCAGCTCAGAGCTCGGGGCCCCGGGTTCGCCTAACCCGTAGTGCTAATTACTTAGCACCCCTCAGCTAGTTTTCATCATATTTGTATTTATAATATTAACAAAAAAATGTAGTCCTTTACGTTCAGACTTTCATAAAACCGTTTGCTTACAGCCATAATAACACTTGCTCGATAATATCTATAATTCTCATTTCGTGATTTCTCTTCGCATTTTTACTACTACAGTCGTAGATCGTACAACATTACAGTGTTCTTCAAAATTTTAAACGAATATTTTAACGTAATGCCAAAAGTAGCCATTTTTTTCATAGCTATCATTATCTTGAAGATATCATTGGGTAAGTTTTGCTCGTATTTTTTTTCCACGGTATATAGATTCTCGCGAAGATTATTCGAAATTAACAATATACTACCTATAGGTTTGACTTCAATATTTCTAATTAAATAACACATTATACTGATAGGAGTCGATTACTTGTATATTTTCCTCATAAACTTATGTATGCGAACAAGAATGTTATAAGAATATTAATATTGATATTTCATTTTCTTCTTTATATTTAGTCGGCCAACGTAAACCTCGTCCAAAAACTTTGTGGTAAAAAGTAAGATACAACATACAATTTTACTTAAATTATTTCTATAGGTATATTTTTTTTTACATCCACAACTTTTGTACACTGATCAATATAATTATCGTGAAGTAATAATATAGGACTAGAAGTGGAATAACGGTACAATATAGGAGCTAATTTTTTGTTATTTGATAGTTAGCAAACAGATATAGGCGTTATATGGTATTTTGTTGTATTAGGCGAAGATGGTTGGGAAAAAAACGGATAACTCTCAAAGTCGGTATAGAATGTAGAATAATTAGTAATAGCCATGGCTTAAATTGACAAGGTTATTGCATATCCCCACTTTATTATATTATCAATTCATAAAATGGCAGCGTAAGGGTACATCATTGTGTTTTTGATAAATATATAAGTAATACCTTTATAAATGAATCTGATTGGCTAACCCTTGCGCTGCCATTTTATTTTTTTCGTCGAAAGTAGTCAATGAAGAAGGGGTAGAAGTGCAATAACCTAGTATATTTCAATCATGGTAATTGCCTACTTATTGAGTGGACGCCACACCAATAGTGGAACGCATGCAACGACCGATAGAACGCGCTGTTAGGTGTTTTAGCGAGGCGCAGGCGCAGGCGTTTTTAGCTTCGCCTACCACGTTACGGTTGGACGTAACCGGTCTGTCAATTAGGTAGGTATTGAATATAATATTTGTATTTGTATAGTAGGGTTTTATGAAAGCAATCCCGAGTAAGGAATTTATAACGTTGTTATAAGTTTTTTTTAAATGCGTCTTTAAAAGCTCCTCTCCAAGCAGCAATTCCATAAGAGAAAACTGACTGAGCAATTGCACAATAAATCATTCTCATGGCGATGGTCAATAAAATATTGTTTAGAGTTTTGAAAATAATATAGAACATGCTCCGAACTTTTTTAATAGTAGACGCA